TTAAATGTGAAGATTTTCAACAGTCCTATATATTCATATATACTCTTTCAGAATATCAAAGTAACTATATGACTTGCAACATATCAATGTTACATACATTTCAAGCAAACTACCAAATCTGACTTATTATAGATGTATTTATCCTTTAAAATGAGTCATATATGTAACACTGATTTTACCTTTCCAGGATATAATGAGGTGAAACAGGTTTAGTAACTGAATACTTCACAGAGTAAACAGTGCATCTGACCCTGGATTACCATTTCCTATCACTTTGCAGTGACTTATCTAGTCAAGAAACAATGGAGCTTTCAGTGTTTTCCTTTAATAGGGCCCTTAATTTACACTGTGCCAGATGAAACACATACTGCACCTTCTAGACTCACCACAGACATTATGCCACACAGACCTGCTTTTATGTAATCATACGAAAACCTGGCTATACTTCTGTTTACTGAGTGGTACTTATAAATCAGTACAAATGCATTTTCCTTGATTACTAAAAGATTTTACTTACCAAATTTTCTCTTTCAATCCTTTGCTGTTCCCTCTGTCTGTTGAGAGCACTATGGTATAATTTAGGGGGGTGGCCAATCGATCTTCCAGGAATCCCACTTTTGTTTCCTGGTTTTTCAGCCTGTCTTGACAGTTCTTTCAAAAGCCTCTGATTTTCCCGATCGATCTGTCTCACTTCTTCTCTTGTGAAAGAGTAGTTTTTCCTAGGTATTACTGAAGGCTGATCAAAGTGAGGTTTTTGTGGTCCCTTTTTACCAGTGTGAATAGTGAGTTCCAGGGTAGTAGGGGCTACTTAATGAGACTCTGTCTCAAAACAAAACACATCACTAATACAGATAATATGGTGAAATGGCAGTATTTTGCTATTGGTTGGAGCTGTAGTTCTGTAGTTCAGTGGTAGCATTTGCAAGTCCTGGATTTAATCAATAACACCAATAAACAAACAAACAAAATTTTAAAAAAAGAAGAAATGGCAATATTTTATACTCTGGTCAGTTAAATAGGACAAATATTTCTTTTGGATTTTTATTATTTTTACTTTTTTTTATGCGAATGCCTGCATATGTGTAAGTGTACCCATGCTGTGCAATGCCCGAGGTGCTCAGAAGAGGGTGTTAGAGCCCCTGGAACTGGAGTGATAGATGGTTGTTATCTGCCATGTGACTGCTTGGAATTGAACCCAGGTCCTTTGCCAGAGCAGTCAGTGTTCTTAACCACTGAGTCATCTTTCTAGCCTCTCTTTTGACACTTTAAAATGTGACTACTACAAAATTTAAAATTTTACTGCACTCATGCTTCCACTGTTCTGGTATATATTATTCTCATATGAGACATGGAGGAAATTACTTCCTTACAGATGTAAACTGTAAAGTATATTGAACAAGTGAAAATGAAAGTGGTGATTTCCCACTGCTATGAAACCAGCCAAAACGGCGTGCTTAGTAGTGACAGCTGTAGCCAAAGCC